GGTTAAATGTTAATGCATCAATAATTTCACAGTGCAATATAGCATATTTAATATTTTGCACTCTGTAAGGAGCCTTTCTACATAATGACCACATCTGATTATGCTTCTCCTTTTATTTAAGTAAAGCTCTGAATGCAGGTACATTAGTTCAACACTGTTGTTATCATTATGTCTTCTTCCTGGAAGTAAAGGATCTGAGTACTTCTGTCACCATTCAAAACATGGCATTTCATCATGGAGAGAGGAACAGGAGTCTAGCTGGGAGTTTGCCCAGGTGGGAAGGCTTGAGTTAACTAAGGGGAGTTTTCCTGAATACATGTTGGAAATATCCACTGTTGAAAATGTATACATCACCCAACAGTGTGTTTGACAAGGTTAGAAAAGCAGAAAGGAGAAATTGAGAAATGAGCCAGGATTAGATTTTTTTTTTTCATTTGTAAAGAAATACTGTAAGTAAGCAAGGCATCTGTGCCATTCAAGGTCAAAGATGTCTGCTCTGGAGGGACACTACCCGTCCTCACGCTGGTGTTTTCAAAACATTTTGTGATCTGATAGGATGGACCTGTGTACTTATACAGTTTATAAAAAGGCAGATAAAACTGTAAATCCTCTGATGATGTAGTCATTTAGATGTTGTGATTGTGCTGCAGCTCCAGCATGGCTGAACATGTGCAGAGCAGCACAGCTATAGCTGAAGAGGGTGAGAAAGATTCAGAAAGAGTCTATTGTAATTATCACCTCATTCCATTCTCAAAAGACTTCCTACAGTATGTGATCAATTACAACTAGAAATTCTCAGTCATAAAACTGACTGCTGTTTGCAATCAGAGGTCACTCTGGATCATATAAGCATGATGTGTTGGAGAAACAAAAACTGTTTCCCAGTGGATGTGCATGATAACTCAACCTGTATAATAAAATAATTTAAAAACCTATAACTGACTGAATATTCTAATAAAAAAACAATAGGATGTAATTATTACAGTTTCTCTAATACTAATTCAGTTTTCCACACTGAGTAGTCATTAATGTTGCAACTCTGCAAATATTTTTACAATTGTTGGCACATATTCTGATTATTTCCTCAGCTGAAACTCATCTTTTCTGTCATTTCTCATCTTTTCAGCCACTGTGGGCAATAAAGCCTAATCTTGTTTTCTATCGTTTACTAACTCACTTTTAATTTCAAGATGTGGCAGACAATCTGACAAAAGTCTAATGCTGAATTGGTGAGGCTGCCAAATTAAAAATAATACAACTGCAACAATACAGTAAAGCACATAGTCTCCGTTTAACCAACCTTTTCCAGTATCCATGTCTTTGGTAGTTCGTCCCTTAAGTGCACGGCTCCAGTTGCTGGTGTAGTATCCCCCCTGGCCCTTCGTCTCCTGGCGCTCCCGTCTGGTCGATTTCATCCATGGAGGGCTATACCTCCGAGTAGACCTGCGTGTCTCCTTAAACACTCTACTCGTGATCCCAGGCCCTGGAGTGACTGACAATGACGTCTCTGCAGCTACCACAGGGTCCCGGCCCACTCGGGCTCCAGGGCCACCATTCCCAATGAAGCCAGAGTGCAGGAAGACAAGGCTTCCAGCAAACAGATAGAAGAGGATGAGTAAAAGGAATCGAACAGGTTTCCTTCTGAAATAGCGTTGTATCTTCAGCAGAGGCTTGACCATGCTGGCTCCCCCTGCCACTCAGACACACTCTCCAAGTGATGAAAACTCATAAAGCAGATGAATCAATCCCTGCTGCCACCACAATGCCCCGCTGAGCACCAGCTAAAATGAAGATTAAGTCAGTTAAATTGTTTTAATCCTGTATGAAGTCATCCAAACAAAAACACGACTTTACACCTGTGCACTCAGCAGCTCTGTTGAGCATGTCCATCTGAGAGTCATTCTGCATTCCCACTGACAGTCCAGCCCTGAGAGCCGGCTCTGGGGCAACGGCATGAAAGGTGAGATGCTCTGAGTGCAAGATGATCGCTCAACACTGCTTTCACTCCAATTATCAGCCTACAGAGATGCCTCACCAGCACTGTGGTGACACTTTCTCCTACGCTGTGTTGACGAAAAAGGGCTTTATTTATCAGGCGAGCTGAGATCCTTTCCTCACTGTCCAGCTCTCTATTCACTGAGACAATCCAGGAGTGACAGGACGTGACTCACCATCTGCAGTAAGGACACACAAAAATAGGAAAAATAAGTGCACACCTGAGTAAGCTTTATCACACGGAGAAAAGGAGAAAAAAAACATGAGTGGGCTAGAAAAGGACACCTGAAAATACATCTCAAACATCTCACTAACCTTCCTCTGTACCACAGGTACAAATGTCCTCATATTTTCTCTTCTGTGAAACTTCACATGAACAAGATTTCCCAGTGATACAAGGAATGAAAAATGAATTATAGGATTGGAAACAATTAAGCATCTGGGAAACTCATCTGTTGGTGTTACTGAGTGCATTGAATAGTCAGAAAGGTGCCATGTCAACATGCTCTTCAGTAAATTAAGTTGAGCCAAAAGGGAAAAAGCAGAAACAAGTTTTACCCTCTGGCTTTTTTACTGATGTCTTTGGGAACTAATGCACATGGGAACTGAAGGAAAACATGATACAAGCTGATCTAAGGTGATGATAATAAGTGTGAATGTCTGACAGCAAAAGAGAAATATGTTCAAGTGAGGTAAGAGCATATAGAGTGTTGTAGGTTGGCTGAATCCTGACTTCCTAAAACTGTCAGCAGCCTTTCTCAAAAGAGTCTCTGTTCTGAGTGCGAGAGGCTTCAACTGGAAAGTGTAACGCAACACTCCTCAGGGTCAGGGACTTTTCCAGAACATTTGCCCTTGTGGTTCTCTGTCCGCCTCGAGACAAATCCACTGGATACTTGTCATCTGAAACCTCAGTGACAGTGCAACCCACCCCCCAACCCCTTACTTTGCCCCTTAACTTTCCCCTCTGGTAGTCTGGGAAGTGTCTGTGGCCCTCAAGAACAAATGGGTCACAGTCTGCTCATGTTCATCAGCCTGAACATTCAGCACTACAACACTAAATTCTATGTGTTATAAGTGAAGTGTTGCGCAAATGATGAATCCAAGTTAATAAAAAACAGCATAAATCTGTCATGATTCGGTTCCGCTGCTTCCTGTCCGGCTTTTATTTTGACGTTACTTCCTGTAACGTTGTTTCACCTTAATTTCGGTCTTTTTGCGTTCATCACTCACATTGGTTTCACCTGTAGTTAGGCTCCTCCCACCAGGACGCTGCCAGATTGTTTTAGACCCCAGCTCTGACTTTCCAGCATTCTCTTCGGTTTTGGTATCTTGTGTTTCTGACCCGGACTGCTACCTTGGTATATTCGTTTCTGCTTTGCCCTCTTGTCTCGGACAGCCACAGTGTATGATATCGGACTTCCCTCTGGACTACGTATTTTGGATCACCTCTGTTGGATGTGTTTGCTGGCTCTGACCTCGGACTGTTAAGGACATGTGAGTGTTGTGTTTTCACCGTGTCTTGTATGGTTTTCTTTTGTTCAACGTTAGTTCTCTTAATAAAGAGACGGTTTTGTTTTACACTTCCTCGTCTGGCCATTTAATTGAGTTCACCTAACACTTTTCGGCCGCATTACGCGCCGTTTGACACTATCAGATTAGTGGGGTTCACACTCAGGACATAACGGACAAAGGAGTCATTTGTTCAGGCTTCAGTTTCAAAATAAGAAAAGCCCTAGAAATAAATCTGCTACCGTCAAATTACTAAAATAGTGTTGAAGTTCACTAATTACCCATTAAATTTCACATCATGCGCAAACAATTTTTCAGTATTTTGATGAACTCTTTGACATTTTGTGTTTATTTCATTTCTTGCTGAAACTAGATGAGAAAAATAATACCACTATCATGTTAGTATGCCAGCTGGTTAGCTCAACTTAGCACAAAGACTGCAGCACAAGGAAGCAGCCGGGCTCCATCTAACGTTCAAAATACCTCAAACTGTGTTAATTATGGTACATGAATTTGTTTTAGTTTTACTCTTTTGTATTCATTTTAGTTTATTGATATTTGTTAGTTTTAATCTAGAATTTCAGCCAAAAACTGAAGGCATGAGTTATTTTTAGCCTGCATTTTTAAACAATTTATTTCAGCAATGTTTTCATCTCCATGAACAGCCTTTACTCCCTGGGGTTTTGCATAAAGAGTATAATAATTACTTAGCTCAACAGCTGTGTAAACAATATTGCTAGTTTCTCCTACGCTTTATCCAATTTTTCAGCCATATGTCAGTGTTTGACTCCCTGTCGGAGAAATTCTTCATATCTCAGGACAAATGAAACACAACTCTCAAATAAGTCTTTGTTGGAGACTGGGTCATTTCTTTGCCTCTGTAGGCAGACCTAACTCCTACAGAGTTGGGTCTGCAGAAAAATAAAACTGCATATTTCGACATGCCTCTAACAGTGAATAAAAATGGCAACTTGAAAATGTGTAGAGGTCCCCATTGGAATTTAGGCCATGCACAAAAGGCACTATGTTAGGGTTATGTGTGTGCACAGGTCATGTAATGATGACTCCAGCTAAAAGGCAGTGAGCTGCTCCTTTCCTGAAAACACAATAGGTTTCTCCGGGTGAACAGCTGGAGAAAACAGCATCAGGATACATGTGACACCAACCCACTCTGCCTCTTGCAAGTTCAACGGGGCCACACGTTAATTACTGGTGTACAAAAACGAACTTGAACTCTATTCATGGCTAATTCACAGCTTCAACTGACAGTGGCAACCAATGAAAAACCACATAAGAAAAGTTAAGATGTGTTAAAATATGATGTAGCCTAGTTTAAATATGGACCGAAGTGGTGGACCAACCAGCTGACAAAATGACACTGCATCCCTCTAGCTATTCAGCTAATGTGGCTAGAATGAGATCCTCATGACGAGGATCCCGGCCGCTGACATTCAAGGGGCACGAAGAAAGGAATTCACTCAGCTGGAGCATTGACCAGGAAGATGAAGAGTTGAGTAGACACAGCAGGCTGGAGAGCTGACATTCAAGGGGCACGAAGAAAGGAATTCACTCAGCTGGAGCATTGACCAGGAAGACGAAGAGGTGAGTAGACACAGCAGGCTAGAGAGCTTGATTGTTAGGAAGGGAGCCACGATCTGCTTTGCTAAGGACATACAACAATCTGGCGACGAGGACATGCCAGCTGTTGATTGTGCCTCGCCGCCTAGACCAGCTGCTGGCATGCAAGGAGGTGGAGGTGCCAGTTGTGGAGGTGACAGCGCTTATGTTCTTCAACCTGAAATTCAGGTTGGCAGACTTGACAGTGCCCATATTCTTCAACATGTAACGTTGATTCTCACTTGGTGCTAAAAACTATTGGATAAAACTCAGAAACAAAGACAAATAAGAGGAAGATCAAATGCAAGAGACATGAGATAGGAGGTGGTGTAGAGGTTTGTTTGCCAAATCATGGTGTATATACTCAAGGGAACCAGATATGAACTCAGTGACTCACCATTAATTTACATTCATATTAAATGAGCAAGCAAATATTTAATCAGAGCAAATCTAGAGGAGGAAACGTCAGCATTAATCTTTGAGCAGGCTGACAGCCAGCTCTGCTTGTGCTCTACAAGTCAACCCATAAATATTCTTCATATCTGTCCTGGGACTCGTTGACCAGGCACAGTTGATGGAGACAGAGCTGTGGTCAGCTCTGTGGACACCTCCTAGCATGCAGAGAGTGAGACAACAGTAGCCGTCTAATAGCATGTTTATGTACTATTTGTTCTGGTTTAAAGGATAGAAGCTGATAATGTATTTATTTTTGTCACTTGGTTCTGCAGAAGTGATCGATTTTCATTCCTATCTCTTGATTGCCAAAAAGTATTCTGTTCTCTACATTGCGGGTGAGGCTTTTTAACCCCTAAGCCTCTGAATCGCTGAGGCAAATCGCACCAGCTAAACTGGTTTCACCATTGTATAAAAGGGGTTCGCATGTCCTGTTTTCACAGAGGTAAAAGTTTAGAAAATGTTGTAACATACAGGAAAACTGAACAGTGAAATGCCAATGAGGTTATATTTTATCCATAGTAAAAACAATGGAGACAGTCATTAACAGTGGCTGCTAGAGGGACACACTATTGTGCTAGAAACAGTAACAATGGGAAAGGAACCCGCTTGAGTCTTCTGTTTTAATTTTTTAACTGTTTGTGTTATGTGCAACCACAGTCAACTTTAAGTCCTGTAGCAGTACTGCACTGTTAGATATAGGATGTCATAGGTTCTCAGCAGCAGAGTGGTTAACAGCAACAGTTAGCTTCAGCATTACTAAACCTCCCCTCTTGCCAGCGCCCGTCTTTCTGCATTAGCCATGTTTGTCCAATCAAATTGTAAGATATTACCCAGTTCTTCTAACCAGGAACTCAGAGAGACGAGGCGGACCACTTGGATATATAAAAAAATAACCGTGCTGGTTTATTCAAAGCATCACAAGTAAAATTAACATTACACGTCCAGGCATCTTCCACCCCCAAACCTGCGCGCAGGCAGCATGGAGGATCAAAGACCCTGAACCCTCATGCCTATACAATTTTATCCCTTGGTTGGGCTAGCCCATGCTACACAGGAACGTCAACCGTGACGTCACCTGATATGCCAGCTTCACAGCTGGCCGTAGCAGTAGTCAAAACATGGAGAGAATCAATGTGTGTGTGAGTGTTGATCATGTGGTGTGTATCTAAAAACATACAGGACGTTCAGGGACATGTCCGGACATTAAGCCTCGGAAGATATTATGATTAAGATTACGGCTGAACATATCATGCTATTAGCAATATTCATCCTGCCTGCAGACTTTTCAATCTAGTTGACCTTGGCCTAGATGCAGCCTGCAGAACTCCTGACAATGAACTGAGCAATAGCCTGAGCTAGACATCCTGGCTACACTAAACATTCCTATACAACAAGTATCTAATCAATATCTACCTGAGTAAGAAATTACCTAACAAAATCAAACTAAAGATCACACTGTTCCCTAGCCACATTTACTTTAACATTTACACAGGTTGTTCCACACCATCCTACTTGCAAAGTTATGCCTCATTACAGGCCTAACTGTCTAAAACCTCAAGACAACCAGAAAGCAGCAGAGTTTTGGAGAGCAAATGAT